TAATGTGAGCTACCTCACAGTTTTTTAGCCTCTGGCTCACACATTTTTGTCTTAGTTCAGGAAGGGTGGCTCCAGAGCAAACTAATTTATGCAGTAGCCAAATCACTCACTCACAACTGTAATGCCAGTAGCTCACAAAGTAGAATTTTTGCTCACAAGACTCCACAGTTTAGAGGGAGCATTGCACATGAGCAGTAAACATGAAAGTATACAGGGATGGATATTTCCCCATCTTTCCCCCAGAAGCACCATCTGACCCTGGTCTGGAGAAATCTCCTGCACAAATTACCATATGGCATGGGGAGATTCAGTTAGGAGAAGGAATTAAAAAAAATGTCCCCCTTCCCCTCCACTAGCAAAGCACTTTGCTTCAAGTATGCAACATTTTAAATATACTGCTTAAGTTAAAGAGGCTGATCTCTTTGTCCCAGTGCTGTTATGATCTGACTGTAACAAGGTTCAAGGCACTATGACTTATGTTATGTAAGCTAGCTGGAGGATCCCTTGAGCTTGTGGCCTCCTCCTCCCTCCCTCTCCTGGTGTGCAGCTCAAAAATATATTTTGCAGCAAACCATTATTTTTTTCTTATCCTAATCACAACAAACTATAGAAATGAGTAATTATTCATTTCTGAGCTACATGCAAGGAAAGAAGAGGATGGAGCGCATGAGCCTATGGATTTTCCAAGCATGCTCCTGTAACAACAAACCATAGTTTGTTGCTTTTCTGTGATGTTACATCTAGAACCATAGTGTGTTACGTTTCCTGTCAGCTAAATACATATACCATACTCTTGGACAATGGTAAAAGAGAATTATATGTATTTTTAGGTGTCATCAAATGTTATACTAGAATACTATCCCCAGTGATGACTATGTATGATTTTCTTTTTAACTGGAACTGTGTCCCTACTGATTCCTGTCCACTGGCATTGCTTCTGTTTTCCTAGTCTAGCTACGAAATATTTTTGTGAGTTCTCCTCTTTAAAATAAGAACAGATTCTGCAGACAAACCTTGAGTGTAAAATTCCAAAATAATTCAGTGGCATTATTTGCACATTTTATGGGCAATATTTTTTTCTCAAGAAGATTTTGAACAACAATTTTATGTTTCACTGTGGCTGTCTCACAAAGGGACGGGAGACTTCCAAAACTTTTATATCACGAAGAATGATCTAGCACTAATGGAAAATATCTTAGGGACATAAAGTCCTTAGACATATATTATCATCATCAGCCTCTATTCGCATCTTATTCCCATTAGCACATCTTATTTCAACTAATGCAAAAGATAAATTGAGGTTATAGAATTGGAGGGAGGGTCTGAATTTTTTTCCTTTTTATGTATTAAGAAATTCATATAATCTACAGAGATTCAGTATTTTCATACAGAGTGCCTAAAAAGGTATTCACGGTATCTGGTAGAAACTGAAAGGACTGAAAAAGCAGGTGACACTGTTTCATTATTTCCTTCTCTTTATAATTAACACGTCTTTGTCAAAGCTGCCATATGCCAGCTCTGCTTCACCTCCATGTTTGACATTGTAATCAATCTTTTGGATAAAAATGACACGATTCCTGACAGCCACTAATCCTTTGGGCTTCTGAAATAAAAATAGCAAGGACGCCTCTGAATTGCAACCTGAAACAAGCAAGTTCCTACGTAAAAGAATGTAAAATATTTCTCCTTACAATATTCTGTGTGGTGTTGTCTATTATTATAAAAAGCATTTATTAGAAGGGTTTTTTTTTACAGAATTTTGAGGTAATTCAGCTACCTTGACAGTTTAATAATCTAGTTAACATTCTCCGGTCAACAGACTTCAGTAATAAAACAAGTTTAAAAACATAATGGTTTACAGATGATAAGGAGGCACACAAAAAAATCTCCCTTTGCAGTTGATTGCAGTCCCAGAGCCCAAAGAAGGGGAGAGGGCAGCGAAGGCGAGGACCCCTTTACAACGATCCACCAATAATACAGTCACACACAGCATTTTGGAATAAAATGTGGAATAAAATGGCCACAACTTTTATTGGTTACAGCTGTAAGAAGCCTTGGCACAGCATGGCTCCACCAGATCCTGGCATTGACTGACTTGCCTGCCAGTCAATGTACAGCATCCCACCCACCCAGCCTGCCGGGTGGGGAGAACCATGGGATGGCAGGTTGCTGGATTCCACAAGGATGATCACCACTGAGTGGACTCCCGTGCCACCTGAGCATGAGGGTAACTCATTGGCAGCCCCCGAGCTGGGCATGCAACTTAAAAACCCTCACTCCGAGATCCCTTAAGTGGATCCCCATTCCGGGAAAATGGCGCACGGACCGATTTCCTAAAATGGATCTGGCCCCATGCTGATACTGCCCTAAGGCTATGAGAAAAATAAAGCAGAAAAAACACCATGAACAAGAACAGAACTTGCACTTCCCCATAACATAACCCCCCAACAGGGCTACCCGCACACCCCCGAACTGTCTTCCCCTCAAGCACTAACACCCAGGTAGGGATGGGTGGGCAAGCGATCCCATGCAGCCAGACAAGGTGGTCACTGTCTGGCCCCCAAGCTGCCCACACAGCTTGTCCTGTTTTGCAGGACGTGGCCACCATGGCTGCCTGTTGCCCTGCTGGCTCTCAACATTATGCGGGACCGCAACTGGGACCTGTGGTGAGTCAGGGCCCCCACTTTTTTAATTAATATAGTTCTCATGTTTTAATAGTTTCTACTTACATATTGGACAAAGGGAACTTAACAAAATTGAAGAATACAAAAATAATATTACTTGTTTACAGAAGAACTGTGAAACAGCATGAATAGAAACTTATTTTGAAGTTGAAGAAAAGTACCCACCATCGCACACTAAACAATTCTTGTTATCAGAAGTGCTGTACCTGCTCAAGCAGCTGTCGCAGCCGATGGAGCTGAGATTCCAGCTGCTTATTGTGGTCTTCCAAAATCTGCATTCTAGCCTCTAGACGACCTTTGTGTTGTCGTAAGAGTTTGGCCTCTGCAATGAGCTCAGCATCTTCAGATGTGTGCTGGGGTGACATGGCAGAGTCTGGGGGTGAGCTCGGTGCATTTATTCCCCTTCGAAGATGCTGTTCCTTTAACTGCTCATATTCCACTTGAAGCATCCTAGACCCAGTTTTAAAAGAATAAGAGTTAATTCTTGGAAGCACAGACACATGACAATGAATCTGTATTCTGTCAGTGAGTATATCCCATCATACAGTTGAGGAACTATGTCACAAAGTTATAGTATGGGCTAAATCATGCTTAGCTATGGCTCAACACATGAAACAATAAATGTAAAGGTGCTAATTGTATCTTCTAATGCACCAAATAATATTGGCTACAACCTTTAAACAATTAAAGGGTCTTTATTGTGAAAAACACAATGCAATGCAACTGAGGACTGTTTCTCATGTGCTTGTATATCACTTGATCACTCTAGGTGTCAGTTCACACACAATGCAAAATATGGTTTAATTAAACTAACAGTTAATTGACCATCTTAACCTGTGCAACCAACATGGTTACAGTTCCTCAAATCAGAATGTGCTTTATTAACTGCTATTATTGTTTACTTCATTTATAGCCTCCTGCCTTTCTCACTAAGCCTCAAGATAAATTATATATATATGCAAAATAGTTTACAAAATATAGAAACTATGCAATCTGACATCATAAAACATACAATGAACAATGAAGTAGGATTAGGATTACAATATTAGAAGTCAATACAGGCAAAAATTCCCCCATACACTAAAAAATGACATACCATAAAACAATGCAGAAAACTGATTACAAAAGTAGAAGACAGCAAAAGCATATAATAAAAAGTTCAACAGACTACAATTCTACTGCATTTATAAAACTAAGCACACTCCTGAACTATTCTATTATACCATAGACATATTAAAAATGCACTCCTAAATATTTCAGTTTTGCACATTCTCTGAAATCAATTGAGAGAAAGGCTTGGGACATCTTGCTCAGCAGTCTGTGAAATCAAATTCCTTTTGTCCAATCCCTTTTGAACTTGGAGGGTCTTCAGATGAGAGGGAATACTTGCTATCCAATAATTTTTGTGCGATTTTCTGAACGGACAACCTGCTCCAGACCTGCAGAAAGATCCCGTATTTTCCCCCAATAGGAAGAAACAGAGATCAGGATGGCTGGGGTGCAGTTTGCTCTATAAACACCCATTCCAGACCGCCCCGCCCCCAAGATCCCCTACAGGAAACAGTAGACACATAAATCTGGGGAACCCCCCAAATAAATCCAAACTGACACAGGGATACCTAAAAATTAAGGATTACGAAATTGGTGGTCCTCCACTTCCCAAGGAAGAGAGTCAGGAAGATGCACAAATCAATTATGACACAGTTTTCCTTATCCCAATTCCAGATTTGGAAGGGCATGCTTTATCTCTATTTCTATTACTTCACTGACTGCCAAGATGATTTGACTGTGACGTGTTAACTAAGATGCCCTTTATACAACCATGTTTCAAATATATAAGCATACATTAATATACACTAATGCAGCACAGCAGAATCGTAAGGAAAGATGATGATACCTTTGCTCATCCTCAAGGTCAGCAATGATACGTTCAAGTTCTCCTCGTTCTTCCCTCTCTACTGACTTTAAGATCTGTGTTGGACTCTGTGGCTGACTCACAGGTGATTCTCCTCCCAGGGTTTGACAGTACTGCTGGATAAGGGCATGTTCATCTTCCCTAATAAGGAAAAAGCTTGCATAAATATATTCAAAGTATAATTAAACTGATAATTGTTTAAAGAAAGCAATGAGGTAAAGTCAGGATGAATTTACACAATATATAGAATAATAGTTGAAACTGCATAAGCAATTGCTTAAAGACGCAAAACTCAGATAAAGGAAGACAAACTCAGATATCATAAATGATCACATTAATCATTGTTTGAATGGATGGTGAGAATTTGCTGGAACTGTCCAAGCTTATGTTTCTGCACACAGTTATTTATACAATTATCCCCCAACTCTGTAAGCCTTTACCCGTGATGCAGCTTCCAAACAATCAAACCCAAACACAGTGGGTTGGATCCCACAAAACTTTCTTTGTTGTGCAATAGCTCTTGCATACATTGTAACACAAAAACATTGAAAGCAGCTCTTGTGCTAAGTCAGCTTGACTGTATCCTGTCTTGCATTTTCACTTTTGCAAGACAAAGCACACAGTGTATTTTTGCAAACCCTGCCCTCATAATGATATTCTTCAATCAAATCATATCATATTTCTAAGCTGCAATAACTGCATCAAAAAGCCTTTTGATTTTTGTACATAGTAACACTGCTTGGAAATGAAAATTCAGTGCCTGATCCTACAATAGCTCTGTCTTGTGCAATGTCTTGCGCGAACAGAAGTAATTTAAGTAAAACTGCTCTTCCTCTATTGTATAAAAGGTTCCAACTCACTTAAAACACAACAATTGTAAAATAAATGAGAGGACCAAAAGGAAAAAAAAATGCAGTTGGTCTGGAATAACAGTGGCACCAAGATACTTGAAGCACCACCTGCTCTAATAACCTTCACCTGAGGTTAACACTGCATGCATGCCCTGCTTCCTCTTCCACCAGTGGTAGAGGTGACTGCAGGCTGATTTAAGTGGCTCCCCGGATTATGGCATGTCCTTTGCTTAGCATTTGGCCTGGTGCTGGTTTGGTTGAGGTCTGGTTTCAGGTGAAAACACATGTTTTCACTCAGACCTTCTGTTAATTAGCTTCTGTTTTACTTAATTTGTGCTTGTTATGTTGTTAATCATTTAACCTGTCCTCTCCATTGGTTGACTATGGGTGATTTCCCACAAGCGCTGCTCCGCGCTCACTCCTCCCTTTTGCCCTGATGGTACGTGTCAATTTCACACAAGCTGCTGCGTGGCCGCATTTTGCCCCACAGCTTTGCGCAATTTCCCCTGCGTCTACTCAATCCTCAAAAACCAGGATTGAAGAGGGGGAAATAGCGCGAAGCTGCGGGGCAAAACGTAGCTGCACAGCAGCTTGTGTGAAATTGACACGTACCATCGGGGCAAAGAGAAGAGTGAGCGTGGAGCTTGTGGGAAATCACCCTTTGATTAATTTTAACTGCTCTGATGTTGTCTTCTATTAATTAATTAATTCTAGGAAGAGTGGCTTTTTAATTAGTATAATTTTCTTTTGATTTCATATGGATTATATTGTAAACTGCCCCAAGATGCGAAGGCATTCAGAAATGTACAAAACAGACAAATAAGGCTCTCTCATGTGAATAAGGGTTTCCTTTCACTTCTGTGTTTAAAACAGTGTGGTGTATGAACACTGGTATTGCACATGCAACCAAGTAAATGTGGAAACAGGCTCAAAAAAGATCCCAGTATACCAAGCAGAGTTCCACAAAGCATAGGGTTGTTGACTGCCTGGAATGGACAGCAAAAGAATTGTTTCATTTTCAGATAAATAAAAATAGCACATGCACCTTATGTGTGTTTATGAATGTGTGGGTATGTGAAAAGTACCTGCAAGTAGGTACTCTGGACATCTGCTTACTCAACTAAAGCCTTTCTCTTCACAGATGCTTTCCTAGCAATTAACACAAGATCTTTTAAACATTTAAACATTGAGCAAAAAGAAATCAGTTGATTGTATCAGACTGAAGAGAACATACATTTTTAGATTACACTTGGAAAAAGAAATAGAGAAAGACATAAAAACTACTAGAGGTAACAAGACAGACAACCACAGATATGGAAGGATTCTATATCACACATGATGAATGCACTACTTCCTTCACAGCCATAGTCAAAAAGATCAAACCTCAGTGAACACTATCATAAAAATTTCTTTCCAGCAGACAGTTTCGGATGACTCAAGGAAGTCAAGTCAAATGTTGGTAAGGTGCCGACTAGTTGGCTCCAGGGCACCCCCAGCCCTAGTACCACCACCTGGGTCACCAGCTTGGGGCTCACTTTCCTGCTGTGTGAGGGAAAAGGGGGGAGAATGCACTGGAACTGGAAGTGATAGGTGATGATCTAGGAACCCCCAAATTTCTGTGGTCAAGAATGGCTTTTAGGATGTCACCCAGAAGTTACATCACTTCCTAGTTTAAATTATTTAGAAAATATTCAGAACCACAGAGTTGGAAGGGACCATAAGGCCTTCTAGTCCAACCCCCTGCTCAGTGCAGGATTAGCCTAGAGCATCCATGACAAGTGTTCGTCCAGCCGCTGCTTAAAGACTGCCAATGAGGGGGAGCTCACCACCTCCCTAGGCAGCTGATTCCACTGTTGCACAACTCTTACTGTAAAAATGTTTTTCCTGATATCCAGCCGGTACCTTCCCACCCTTAATTTAAACCCATTATTGTGAGTGCTATCCTCTGCTGCCAACAAGAACAGTGACAGCCCTACAAATACTCAACGAGAGCAATCATGTCCCCCCTCAACCTCCTCTTCTCCAGACTAAACATTCCCAAGTCCCTCAGCCTTTCCTCATAGGGCTTGGTCTCCAGGCCCCTGATTATCCTTGTCGCTTTCCTTTAGATGCAATCCTTTCACTTTTTCCCACTGCACTGGCAGGCAGGTGAGCCCCAAGCAGCTCAGCCAATCGGTTGCTCAGTGTGCATGTAGGGTAGGAAAGCCAGTGGGGAGGGGGCATGAGTGGGACAGTTGAAGACATGAAAGCCCTTAGGCTAGCCCTGATGGTGATCAGAATGAGGTGACCCCACAATTCCAATAGAATACTGTTCCACACAAAGTTTAGAGCAACTATTTTGAAAAACAGGCAAGGGATGCTCTGTATTCTTGGTGCTTGGGGGGGGGTTCAATAGTGGGAGGGCTTCTAGTATCCTGGTCCCACTGCTGGACCTCCTGATGGCACCTGGTATTTTTGGCCACTGTGTGACAGAGTGTTGGACTGGATGGGCCATTGGCCTGATCCAACATTGGCTTTTCTTATGTTCTTACCATAAGTCAGAAGCAACTTGATGGCACATAACACATACACACAAAGGAATAATAAATTGTTACAATAAATTGAGCAAATTCTGTCACATTGACAGAACAGCAGTCACCTAAGAATTACTAGGGATCTTCTGCATTGTCATTTTTGTCACTCATTTGTACCTATTGCTTCAGGGTCCCCCCCCCAATGTATTTTGCTCTCTAGTAGTCCCAGAGGGAGCAAAACACATGTGGAAAATGGGTGGGGGGAGCCCAAAGCAATAGGGACAAAAAAGTGACAAAAATGACAATGTGTAAGAGCCCAACGTTTGGGTTTTGATTCAGCTGAAAATTGTTTGCAGATAATTTTGCAGAACCTAGCCCTATAAACCTGATTCAGCTTAAACACTGGTTAGGTTTTTATCCTAATGTTGTAGATAGTTGGTACTTGTTAGAGGGTTTTTCTAAAGGTTTTAGGATTCCTTATGTAGGCACCAGAAGGGCTTTTATGGCCAACAATCTCAAGTTAGTGCAGGGCTTAGAGCAGGTGGCCAGGGATAAGATAAAGGAGTGTGGAGAAGGGGGGGTCCTTGGCCCCTTTCCCTCACGTCTTGTGCCCATGCTTAGAGTGTCCCCCTTGGGAGTCATACCAAAGAAAGCACTGGGGGAATTTCGCCTGATACATCACTTGTCCTTTCCAAAAGGTGACTCAGTCAACAAAGCTATCCCGAAACAGCTCCGCTCTGTACGTTATACATCGTTCGATCAGGCAGTTCAGATTGTACATAAATGCGGTCCTGCAGCTGAGATGGCAAAATGCGACATTAAGTCAGCATTTTGACTCTTGCCAGTCCATCTTGGGGATTTTGACTTGTTGGGCTTCGCCTTTGAGGGTCAATTTTATGTGGACAGGGCTTTCCCCATGGGTTTCTCGATCTCATGCTTGGCTTTTGAAAGATTCAACACTTTTCTCGAGTGGGCACTGCAGTCGAAGTCTGGGCTTAAGGAGACTGTGCACTATCTTGATGATTTCCTGTTCGTGGGGTCGGTGGGCAGTGCCAGCGACTGCTCTGAGCCTTTATGGAGTTAGCTGGCAAGCTTGGTGCTCCACTGGCTGATGCGAAAACCAAAGGGCCGTCCTCCACATTAACCTTCTTGGGTATAGAGCTGGACACAGTACAGTGCATGCCATGCCTACCAGCTGACAAGATGAGTCAGCTAAGGGAACAGGTGGATGACTTCTTGTCAAGGAAAAAGATCTCCTTGTTGGAGTTACAGAAGCTCATGGCCCATTTAAATTTTGCCTGTCGTGTAGTGGCTCCCAAGAGGGCTTTTCTGTGTTGACTTTGCGAGGCCATGTCTGGTCTCAAAAAGCCTCATCACAAGGTTAGGATTTCCCATGGGATAAGGGAGGACTGAAGTGTCTGGCAGTTTAATGGGGTTTAATGGGGTTTCCTTTTGGAGGGAGGAACTTTATGTACAGGGTGGTCTGCAGGTTACATCTGATTCAGCAGGTTCCATCGGATTTGGGGTGTATTTTCAAAGGCTGTGGGGTGACAGCTTAGCTAACAGCACTGTTCACGAAGGCACTGGTGTGCAGAAGAGTGGCCCGCGGACTGTCTACAGGACGACATATGTAGGGATCGAACCTTTTTAGAGTTTTTTCCAATTCTAGTGGCTTTATGGCTGTGGGGTGACAGCTTAGCTAACAGCGCTGTTCACTTTTTGTGTGACAACTTGGCAGTGGTGCAAGTCATCAACTCATTGACTTCCACTTCTCCCA